CTGAAAAAGTGACCAAGGCGGACTTATAGTTTTATAATCTTTTATCTTTTCTTTTGTAGTACTAGAGGTTGAACCAACAGTGTATGCATTGCTACATTCCTATTTGTAATTTTTATTTTGAGACAGAGTGTCTCTAGGTTTCACAAGCTTGCACTTGGGATCCTCCTACCATTAGCCTCTGGAGAGTGCTGGAATTACAGGTTTGCATTACCACATGGATCCTTTTGATTGATAGCTCCCTTTCCCTCCTCACTGGCCACTATTTTTTTTTTTTTTTTTGCTTCTGAGTTCAGGTTTTAGAAGCCATGTACAAGTGAGAGAGTGCAGTTTTGTCTTTTTTTTTTTTTTTTGGTACTGGGATTGAACTCACAATCTCGTACTTGCCAGGCAGGCATTTGTGCCAGTGAGGTTTATCCCTCGCCCAGTTTTGCCTTTCTTTAGCTCTTCCACTTAGCATAACGTCTTCCAGGTCCATCCACGTTATCATGACAGTTTTCCCAGATACTTGTGACACTGAGGCAAGAGGATTGGGAGTTCAAGGCCAGCCTGGGCAGTTTGGCTAGACCCCCGTTTCCAAAAAAAAAAAAAAAAAAAAAAAAAAAGGGCGGGGGGAAAACACTAAAAGACTGGGGATGTAGTTCAGCACTCCATGAGTTCAACATCCAGTACTAAAAAACTGTACAGCAAAAAAGATTTGCCATCTATATGCACAAATATTGACAAAATATGTTGGCAAATAAGTGTTGTAAGTAACTGTATTAATTCCACAAAAGGCACTCACTGAAAACCACAGCAAAATGATAAAGGAAGTAACTTTTGAACTATTGCTGAATATTTGAAGACTGCCTAGTGTCTGTGCTATTTCACGCTGTTGTATGAGAGGCCTTGAATTTATGGTAAGACCCATGGAGTCAAAAGAAATACATATTTGGAGAAGAAAAAAGCTTTCAAGTTTTGCAAAAAGCTATCAGTTCAGGCTGGGGATATAGCTCAGCAGCATGCGCACCTGCCTGGCAAGCACAAGGTCCTGAGTTTGATTCCCGGTACCAAAAAAATGGTATTAGTTCGTTGGAAACAGAATCAACTATGTATGAAGTGGGTGTTTCTTTGTTTGTTTTTTTTTTTTTTTTTTTGTCTTTTTCATTTTTATCGGTACCGGGGATCGAACTCAGTAACTCACAACTGCCTTCTTGCACGGCAGGCGCTTATGCCGCTGAGCTAAATCCCCAGCCCTGTATGAAGTGTTTTAGCATGAGCTCAACATGCGGTACATGCCAGAGTAATCCCAGCACTCTGGAGGCTGAAGAGGACAACAAATTCAAAACCAGTCTAGGCTATGCAGCAAGCTCCAGGTCGGCGTACACGACATAGTGAGACAGTGTCTCAAAACAGAACAAAACAACAAAGTCTAAAGACTGGATTAAGTCTGCAATCTCATATAATTGAGGCAGAAGACTTGAGTTCAAGGCCCGATTGGGCAATTTATTCTCAGTATAAAAGAAAGGGTAGGAGTGTTGCTCCGTGAAAGAGCGTCTCAGGGCTCCAAACCTGGTACCTAGGGGTGGGGAAGCAATTCGCGAGGCTGAAGCAGAGGCGTCACCCCGAATTCGAGACCAGCTTGGCTGTTTCCAAAAAACAAGAGATACTAGGTCAATTAATAAACTGAAAAATTTATCAGCAGGGCAGAGCTACTGAGCCGCTGCAACGTCACGGGTGGGGGCAGAAAAAGATATCGAGGGCAAACTGCGGGAGAGTCCCCACCTCCAGCATCGCCTTCCGGCTTACTCCCAAGGGAAACCGCGCGCGGGGTCGGGATCCACTTCCTACTCCTCTCTGGCTAGGGGCCGCGGTCCCTCATTTGACCTCAACCGTGGCCTCTGACCCTATTCCTCCCTTCATAACTTGCTCAGCGTCAATCCGGGGGAGCATCCGCAACCACTCGGGAAGCACCTACAACTCCTCCACCTTAACAGTTCCACCACAGCGGACCCACCCCGCACACGTACTTCCGGTCCAGACTTCGGACGCGGAAGTGACGTCAGCGTCCCAGCACCGTCTTTTCCGGTCTGGCTCCGCGCGGTCAAGTTCCTTTTTTTTCCCTTAGTGGCTGTTAGGCTATATAAATCAGCTTCGGAGAGGCGAGGTAAGGGGACCAAGTGGGCGGCGGGAGGGGACGGTAGGAGTCCGAATGTGGCCAGGGTCACCGCGCAGCCTCCTCGGAAAGGTCAGGTACGTTCCGTTCGTGTCCGCCGGGGCCTGCGTCCTCTGGATGGCCGGGTCCCCAAGGCCGCTGGACCGGTGCGGCCGAAGTCTCGCAGGGGGCCGTTTGGGAATCATTCTTCAGGGCGTTTCTTTAGGGTCTTTTCAACATAGTGCTTGCTTCCTCAAAGCCCTCTAACATAATCCTTTTGAAATTTTTGTCACTAGGAAGTGAACTTCCGCCGCTGGCATCCGGCTGAGAGCGCGTCAGCCTCCCACCTGGCGATTCCAGCGCGTCCCGGTGAGCAGTTGGGGGCAGTCGGCTCGAGAGGGCTTTTATCTCTTTGGTTTTGAAGAGAAATGTTATGTTCTTTTTTATTTAGCCTTTTTTGCATGAGCTGAATTTACTTTTGACACGTGACATTTAGAAGAAAAAGCTGATGTCTTAAGTGGCCAGGGTATTCAGAGTTCTACGCGAAGCTTGTGCCGAACGCACGTCACGTCTCTAAGGGTCAAAGAGGACCCAGGTTCTCCATGGAGCTTCAGAATGGGCCTCTAGGAAGGAAGTGGGAAATTATTACGATTTACAGTTTTCTTTTTTCTGGAAAAACGCATTTTTTTTTTAAGGGGGACAGACTTATTTTTTCCTCCTGTGCTGAGGAATGAACCCAGGGTCTCGCGTTTCAGGCTCTCCCACAGAGCTTCATTCCCAGCACCTTGGGAATGCCTAGGATGCACCTGGCGAATTGCAAAAGTACTGCTTGCTTTTCTTTTTCTTTTTCTTTTTTTTTTTTTGCCTGAGAATTGAACCCAAGGACTTCACATTGACCTACATTTCGAGCTCTTTTTATATTTTAAAATTTTTATTATTACTATTAGTTTTTTGAGACAGAATCTTTCTAAATTTTCTAGACTGGGCTTCAACTTGATCTTACTGCCTCAGCCTCCCAGACTGCTGGAATTACAGACATGAGCCATCACACCTAACTAGTACTAGAGTTGTAAATGCTTGGTAATGCAGGTTCTATAAACACAGTGTTTTATTAAAGCCACAGTACAACCTCAGCGGGGTGGATGTGGCTTGTAGTACCAGCAACTCTGCCATTTGAGGTAGGAGGATGACAAGTGTGGACAATATGACCAGCCATTTCACAAAGGAGAAAAACGCCACAATATTATTACTTGAGTTGAGAAAATAGAAAATATTACTATCTGTATGTAAAAAAAAAAAACTCCATTGTTCCAGAATATGCTTTTGTATCAAATAGTTTCATGTATTACCATTGTTTGTTGTAGTGTCTTTTAATTTAAAATAGTTCTTTCTCCTTTATACATTGTCTTTTGTGTGGGCCTGTTCGTGGGAATCCAACATGGAGCTTTTGAGCACGGTGGTTTACCACTCAACCAGACCCGTGGTGTTTTTTTGAAGAGCTCTTTTTTTGTTTATAGAATCAACCTTTTTTTTTTTTTTTAATTTTTTTAATTTCTCAATGTTATTTTCATGGTGCTGGGGATTGAACCCAGAATCTTGGTCAGCCTAGGCAAGTGCTCAATCACTGAGCTACACCTCCAGCCTCTTCATATTCTGCTGTTCAAATGTTTCTCCATTTCTTGTATGTATTGCCTGAATTGTTGATTAAAGCATGGTGAAAAAATTCAACGTAGTTGCTCTCAGGGAGCTTATAAATAAATGGAGAAGGCTGACCTCTAACCAAGGAGAGATATATTATTACACATTGGCAAGGACCTGAAAGTAGAGGTCCTCATGAAATATCATGTTCATACAGGCATGATGAAGTGAAGAAGAGTGATGATAGGCCAAGGCCAAAATGTCCATTCAGAATTAGGAGGGTAGGGGACAGGTTGTATGAATTGGCTGAAATGGAACAAGGATTACTCCCAGCTCGGGCCCTGGAATCATTTTCTGTGTTTGGGCAGGAAAAAACTGAGAAAGGATTATGCTGTTCAGTATATAACTGACAGAAAACCGAATGCTGTCCATTGAAATTATGTAAGTAAAGATAAAATATAGGCCCATAATCCCAGCTATTTGAGATACTGAGGTAGGAAGATGGTGAGGTCAAGGTCAGTCTATATAACTTAGTAAAACTGGATCCCAGAACAGAAAATATGGGACAAAGCATGAATGTCTTTAAAAATCATGAGCAGTATATTGATTTGAGGAATTAAAATCAGTGGCTGAGTGTTGAGAAATTCTCTGAACATTTCACTTCTGTTAATCTGTTATTTAGGACCTGAGTTGTTTTATTTTTCCCCTGTCAGCCTTGGTTGTTTTATTCCTATCCAAACCAACCCTTGATTTCCATGAATGTCTAGAGCAGTGATAGTGAACCTTTTAGAGTTTTTAATGATAACGAACAGCCCACTGAAGCACATGTGCCGTAGGTTCACCACTATTGGTCTAGAGTGACCATTCCTGTGTCATTCTTTATAGACTGGTAGTTCCTTAATGAGCTGAAGTCATTTCTGTGGAAAATAACCAGAAAATATCTGCTGAAGGATCTGGGGGCCTTGGCAATGTCCATGTTCTTTGTTGGCCACTTAGGGTCCCAGGAGCTGAATGAATATAGTGACATGTTGATGCTAGTTCTAATGATGAAGTTGTTGAGGGTGTGCATTATTGGTGAAGCAATCTGAAAAATTGTTGGCAATATTTCCTGATTTTGTACATGTGTGTGCTTTGTCATACAAAAGTAATGCATGTTCTTGTAATTGCACATTGTTTTGTATTGCAATGTTATATGTAATAACTCTTAAGTTGGAAACAACCCAACTTTGGGTCAACAGAATAGTGGATAAATTGTCATGGACTCGTGGAAGACTGTAGCAGTGATGGTGAAACTTCTAGAGCTTTCAGTGATACAAACAGCCCATTATGGCATGTGTACCATAGGTTCACCACCACTGCTCTATGTAACAAGTAGAATAAATGAAAGGTAGATTTAAAAAAAAATGGACGAACTTTACTTTTTTAGTGGAAAGGGGGATAATGTTTCCCTTTGTAATTTAGGCTGGTCTTGAGCTCATTGTGTAGCTCTGGCTGGCCTCAAAATCCTAGCAAACCCTGCTCCAGCCTCCTTCTTAGCACAGGGATTATACACCCAGCTTGAACTCTGCAATTTTGAGTGAAAGAAGCTGACACAAAAGGCAAAGATTTAGACTTTTTGGCTAATGTGTGTATTTGTTCTTCTGCTGCCAGCAGCTCAGTCCAGTGGGTTAGAATAATGCTGTTTCTTTGGGTCAGAACTTGCAGGCCTGCTGTAGGTAGGTCCCCTGATTAGGCTCTCATCTGATTGTGGTCAAGTGTGGGTTGGGTTGCAGTCTCATGTTGCTTGACTGGGGAAGATTAAGTAAGGAAGTATATTTCTATGCTCAGAGGTGGACAAAATTCACTTTCTTGGAGCTATTAGAACTTTGTGGACACTATCAGCTAGAGGATGACCTTAGCTCCTAAACAGTGCCTGCAGCACTTGCCACCAGACTAGATGACTTCATTAAGACAGTGAGCTCAGTTCCATCACCCAGCACCATCTGTGCGGGCAGGTGGAGATCCCTAGTCTGAGTGGGAGGAAGCAGCCTTGCTGTAGCTGCAGCCTGCTGGAAGATAGAGAGATGTGCTGTGTTACTGTGGGCCAGATGATTGAAATTGTTAGGCAGCATTAAACCTGTGCTGGCCACAGTTGGTGGATCTGTGTTCAGAGGAAGTCAGGGCACCAATGTAGGTGGAAGACCGGAGTGTGCATGGTGTCTTCTTAAGAGAGCTGTGCAGATGCCCTCTGGGGCACCCTTCAGCCAGCTGACATGAGTAGGCAGGTAGGTAAAGGGAGTTTCGGGTACCACATGGGTTGCATTGCCTGAACCTCAAGTGTCTACATCTGTAGGGTTGTGGGAAGCAAGAATCAGGGCCCCAGGTTATCAAGGGTAGATGCACAAAGTGCATCAACATGTGTATGCAGCGCATAGCATCTGTTATGAAGGAAATAGGCCAACAGCGTGTTTGCACATGAGCAAGGGGGTTGTGGGCTGAGAGTGAATGGTGCAGGGCTTCTTCATCATCTGGGTCATGCTCTAATAGAAACAGCTCAGTACTCGGAGATCAGTGAAAGACAAGGGTACCCTGGAGGTCTATTGGGAAGTTGGGAGTCACTTGGGATGCTCATCCAACCAGTAGGAGAAGTGAGAGATGGGGACACCTAGGGGTCTATTAAATTTCATACATGTTACCATTAGGCTTGATGACTGGGGAGCACTGAGATGTCTGTGTGGTTTACCCAAGTATATTGTTTCTTGGGTCCAGTCTTTTGTTTAGGATGACCCTGGCTAGAAGATGGTTCGTAGCAGCTCCTCTTCGTTTCATCATATGCAGTGATCAGCACAAGATAGTCTGTGAACGTGAACTGTTCGCGTGATCCCATGGGATTTTCCATGTAGTGTGAGTCTAGGGATGGAGTGCATCGTGGCTTGTGATTGGGGCAGGTCTTTTGGTGTAATGCTCCAAAGGACTTGCGTTTGACTGCCTTCTGACTCTCAGAGGCATGAGTAGCAGTGCCCTGCTATATCTTCTTGGTTTTATGACCCAAAGCATAATGGGCAGCTAGGGATAGGAGGTCAACAGCTTCATGGTCTGGGAGAGATTATGTTTATTTCAGAAGAGCCTGGTAGGTGTCCTGTCATTTCTTCCTTTGATGGTCAATACCAGGGGGTTAAAAGGGAGAATCTCTTGCGTTAGAAGCCATTGAGTAACAAAGAGCCACCTTGCTGGGCATGGTGGCACATGCCTGTAATCCCAGCACTGAGGCTGAGGCAGGAGGATCACTGTAAGTTCAATGCTAGCCTGGACTACATGATGAGAACCTGTCGCAAACACACAAAACCAGAGCCACCTTAAGTGGTCCAGAGAGTCCTAGACTGTCATAAAGTAGTGTTTTGCTTTTTATTTAACTTTTAATTGGGTTGTTTGGTTTGGTTTTGGGGCTGAAGTCATGTTGCCCAGGTTGGCAACTGGCCTCAAGCAAGCAGCCTGCCTCCCACCTCTGACCTGGGACTCAGACATGTTCAGCTTTTGTTGTTAAGGCACTTGTAGGAGTCCCTGTTGGTTTGCTCTTGCATGTAAAATATGTGAGAAATATGTTGCCACCAAAAACCCAAGTAGTACTTTAAGACAACTAAAATTTTATATCCTTGATGAATATGTCAGTGGAGTGACCTTGAAGAAGGATGTTCCTGCAGAAGGTGAATATCATTAAGATTGGTTTTCTTCTTTCTTTCTTTGGTGGTACA